TCAACTATGTACATAGCAGCTTTATTTGTAATAACCAGGACCTGGGAAACAGCCTAGGTGTCCTCAATTGAAGAATGAATAAAGAAAATGTGATACATCCACACAATGGAGTACTATGTAGCTGTTAAAAACAATGTCATCATGAAATTTGAAAGCTAGTGGATGGAACTAGAAAAAAAATCATCCTGAGTGAGGGAATGTAGACCCAGAAAGACAAATATGATATGTATTCACTCATAACTGGATACTAACTGTAAAATACAGGATAATCATGCTAAAATCCACAGATACTGAGAGACTAGGTAACAAGGAGTATGCAAGGTGGATGCCTGTCTCTCCCTGGGAAGGGGAAGTTAGGATTTTGTGAGTGGACTGAGGGCAGATGAAGATGAGAACATGAGTGATCAGGTAGGAGGGAGGCAAACAGAGAGAATACTGAGAGAGTCTACTGGAAACAGTGGGCATTTCAAGGTCAGGAAAAAACATACTGCAAGGGAATCTCCCAGGAATCTACAAGGATGACCTCAACTAAGACTCTTACTAACAGTGGACACGTAGCCTAACCTAAACATCTCCTGTGACCAGGCAGCACTTCTAGTGTCAGGATTGGGCATCAACCCAGCCACACAACATTTGATCTAGAGTCTGTCCACTCTATGGAACCTGTTGTGTAAAGGATGACATAGAGATTGAGGGAGTGGCCAACCAGTGACTGGTCTATCCTAAAACCCACACCACGAGTGAGTCCAACTCTGACACTGACTGCAGTACTGCGAAACAGGATGGATGACCCAGAGACCTGGGATAGAACCAAACACAACACGAGGGGAAAATGTCTATATAATGATACCAAATCATATTCTGATACACTCATAGACTGATATCTAGCCCAATTGTCATTAGAGAGTCCTCATCCAGCAACATATAGAAAAAACGTAGACCCACGGAAAAACATCAGTCTGAGCGTTGGGCAATCCTGTAGAAAAGGAGGAGGAAAAATTGTAAGAGGCAGAGGGATCAAGGACACAAAAATAAAGGTCACAGAATCAACTAATCTGGGCTCATAGGGGCTTGCCCAGACTGGAATGACAACAAGGAGCCTGCGTGGAACTGATCTAGGCACTCTCCATGTATTTTACAATTATGTAGCTTGGTCCTCTTGTGGGACTCCTAGCATTGGACTTAAGGCTGTCTCCAACTCTTTTATTCTCTTTTGGCACCCTATTCTTCATCCTGGATCCTTCTCAGCCTTAATAAGACAAAGTTCTTAGTCTTAGTACAACTTGAAATGCCTTGTTTTGTCAACTTCCATTGGGAATCTTTCACTTTTCTTAAAAGGGAGGGACAAGGAGTGGTTTCACAAGTTGGGAAGAGAGGGAGTGGAGGAAGAAACTGGGTGAAGAAGAGGGAGGGAAAACTACAGTAGAATCAGAGTTAATTAATTAATTAATTAAGATTTTAGCTAGATGTTCGAAAGTCTGAAGAACTGTGATTCCTGGGACACAAGCAATCAGAGAGCCTGCTCCTACAAGCTGGACAATGACCTTCACTCTGCCTAATGCAAACTCTCTCTCTCTCTCTCTCTCTCTCTCTCTATATATATATATATATATATATATATATATATATATATATAACTAAAATAGTGGTATTCATTATGACATTCATATGAGAGACATGTACATCTTAAATAGGGGAACATGGTATTGGCCATGGGGCAGAATTTGTTAGACTGCATAGGATGGGAAGTAAGGCAGGAGTTGTTAGGAACAGGGAGTTTTTGATATGGGAGAGAGCAGTAGACCTTACCAGGGATTGTAGGTGTTAGCAAGGCATTGTTAAGCAATAGGTTATCTCTGGCTCAGGGCCATTTGTGGGAAGGCACCTAAGTTTTGGGATATGCCCTGAGGTAAGAAGTAGATTCAGTGACCAGGTCCCCAACACCCATCAATCTAAATTACATATTGGTTTGACTTTAAGACATTACCTATTGTGACTATATGTTTGGCTGTAGTTTTGACTATTTACAACCTCCATTTTCTTTTTTAACTTTTTTATTGTAGAGACACTTTTTATAAATCCATTCCCAACTTCTCTTGCTCTTCTGTCCTCCCATGCTTCCCACTGATCCCTCAACCAACCCCTGTCCACTCCCTGGGGACAATGAGACCCTCCAGGGGATCATCAAGTCATCACATCATTTGGGGGAGGTCCCAGGCCCTCCTTTCCTTATCTGGGCTACAATAGTATCCCTCCATTGGGAATGGGCTCCTGAAGTCCATCTGTGACACTGCATTTCCTGTTTTCTTAAACAGTTGATAATAATAACTTTCAAGGACTGGAAATTTGCATCATATTGAATAAATTAATGGATTGCTACAATACCTTGAATAAGGTTAGAAATGCACATAGTATTTTTAACATATTAATCTCAAATTTATATCAATATATATTTGAATATAATGTACGTTACAACGCAATGCTGAATTTGTTTCACCATTTAAATTTCTCAGTCTAGGTTTGAATATCTCTATAATATAATTTAATAAGTTTTTCCAAGACCTGTATCCCAGCACTCATATCAAACAACTTTTTAAGAGATAAACCAACAGTTATCAAAATGACAACAATGATTGTCAAATTGATAATTAACAGTATGACAATTCAAGGTAAGTTGATTATCCTTCATTTGTTTGTTGCATTTTAAAGCATCTATTATGTATCATATGCAATACTAATTCTCCTCCAAGTTTGAGTGGCAGCTGAAGACTGTTTAAAAGGGCTACACCCAAAAAAAATCCCACACTTACTCAAAGCAGGTCCTCAAACTGTTCCTAACTTCATTGTTCCTCAGATTCACTCACACTGCTATGCTCTGCTCAACAGGGCTTGACAAAAACTCTAGACTGAATGCCTTTACCTTTTATAACTCTCAAATTCTGGGATTAAAGGAATGAACTCTGATTCACTCTCCAGTAGCCCAGGGTGGTCTTGGACTCAGAGATGCATCTGCTTGTCTTATGAGTCCTGGGATTAAAGGCATATACCACTACTTACTGATCTCTTTAGCTTGAGGCAACTTGGCTTTCTGAATCCTCAAGAAAGCTTTAACAAGTTATGACTAATATATAACTATATGTCTGTGTCCCAGGGCTGTAGGACATGGTTGGGTTTGGGACAGAGTGGGGGTGTTGATGTAGCCTGGTTGCAGGACTCTTTCCAGTTGCCCTGCTTGTGGCTGAGGTGGGTCAGGGAAGGGCCTGGAGTTTTGCCCCAGGACCTAGAACCCAGAGGCTTTTTGATCCATACAGGAAGCTGGTCTTTCTCCTCTCAGTCTTCTCTGTCAACTCCTGACACTATCAAATTCTATTCTGCATAACAATTTATATCTGGATTAAGAACATATATAGATTATGTTAGCAATTTTTGCCATTATTGTGACAGGATATTGACATCTTTAAGAAGGATCTTTAAGAAGGAGAGGGTAATTTTATCTCATAGCTTCAGAGAGCCACCAGTACAACGTGGCAAGGAAGATATAGCAGTAGAAGCAACTCTATCTTTGGTGCCTGGAGCATGAGCCTGCATTTTCACATGGTATCAGATAGAACTAGAGATTTTGAAGATGGAACCAGGAATGGCTACAAACTCAAAGTCCTTAACCTAATAACAAACTTCTAATAGGTTCCGCAGAATACAGGACTAAAGTCTTCAATGCAGCAATGCAGCCTGATCTAGAGCATTTAAAACATGATCCTATAAGATACACATAAGGATGTGCATGAGTGTCATATCTTGGACTCACTGCCAGTGGATTCAGTGGTGCCCATTATATATAGAGAGATAACCTTGCTTAACCAAGACACAGGGGTGGGGGGCAGGGAGTAGAGATTTTCCTTGGTTATGCCTCAAGTAGATGATGGAACAAACATATTAGACTTCCTAGGAGAGTCCTTACCATTTCTGAGGAGCAGATTGGAGGAGAGGGGGAGTGGAGGGAGTGGGAGAAAAGGGGGGAGGGAGAAATCGGATTAGCATATAAAATATAAATTAATAATAAAATAAAAAATGTCTATGTATATATTTAAAAAGATACTTTTCAAATTCAAAGGCTGGATAAACTGGAAAGACAGTTCAGCACTGTTACAAACAGACATTCATTTTATAAAAAGCCAAGGTGTGATTCTCAGAAGACACATGACGGTTTACAGACACATTTTATTCAAATTCAAAGCATAATATGCTATAGTAACAGTAATTTTCCACTAGAAAAAAATGATTATGATGATCATGGTTCAAGATGAAATGTTTCCCAAAAGTTCAAAAGTGTCCAGTTATTATTTTAGAAATATAGTGTTATTAAAACCTCAATCAGGAATCTTTCTAAATTTGAGGGCCTCTTCCAGTGGGAGAGTTCTCTCTACTTGTGCTAACATTATTAAAGGCTATGGGTAATTACACACATATACATACACTAAAATCCTATAAAGGATAATATCCAAAATGAATGTTAAATTACCTAGCATGCATAAATAAATGCATGCATATATATGTATTTATCATTACAGATAGTTAGATAGAGGATAGGTAGATAGAGAGAGAGAACGCACATATATACACAGATAGAGAGGTAGATAGATGATAGCCAAATAGATTTTAAGACAGAAATAGTCACACATATATTCTACCCATAGCATCAATCATAATAGCAATTAGCTAAAAGATGTCCCCTAGGTAGGTGCTAACAATAAGGAATATTTGAAGAGGAAGAATATGATCACATAAGTGCACTCAAACACACTTTTACATACACACAGTTTCACACACAATACACTAACACTGTGCCTTAGAACAAAACTTCTATGAATTTGTGAATGTATTGCATTTCTTTTATTGAAGAAGACATTAATGAAAGCATCATGAGGAAACAAAATCACATTCCAAAATAAAAAATCAATAAGAAAATTAGTTGAGAAAAGGTAAACATTCCAGTGCTCTAAATATAAGATGTTTTATCTGAACATGGAAATAATAGGGTTCAATATCTATGACAATATAACTGAGATAAATACATTTCTTTTCTGTTACATATTTTTTCCAAAAGCATAATTTGATATTTATTTTAGAATGCGTCCATTTTGCCCATTCTCTAGAAGAAACCAAAGGACCATTCCCAATGCAGTGATATTCTAAACATATAACTAAAAGCTAAGGTTTTCTTTATTAAAATAAATATACCTTTTGATTTCTTATATATCACCTGAGATTTTTTTGCACCACAGCTTTCTCATGGCATTTTTAACTTCCACATTCCTCAGGGTGTAAATCAGAGGGTTGAGAAAGGGTGTACAAATTGTATAAAACACCGATATCACTTTTTCCATAGGGAAGGGGGTGGCAGGACGTGTGTATATAAATATGCAAGGCACAAAAAACAAGACTACTACAATGATGTGTGAGACACAAGTGAACAGGGCTTTTTTCCTCCCTTCAGCACTGTGGTTTCTCAGGGAATACAGAATGATGACATAGGAGACCATGAGCATGAGGAAACTCACTGTGCAAATGGTTCCAGTATTGGCTACCAGGAGAAGGTTGATCACATATGTGTCTGAACAGGCAAGTTTCAACAGTGGCTGCAAGTCACAGAAATAGTGATCAATCTCATTGGGACCAGGGCCAGAATTATCTGAACTGAAGAATGCACAAAGGATCCTACACAGACTGTAGCCACCAGCATCTCACAGAACCGACGGTTCATGATGGTGGTGTAGTGAAGAGGCTTACACATTGCCACGTAGCGGTCAACAACCATGAAGATGAGGATGAAGGTCTCCAGGGAGCCAAATAAATGAAATGTAAAGACTTGGATTATGCACTCATTGAAAGAGATAGAGGCCTCCTTCATCCGGGAATCGATAATCGTTCTAGGAGCTACAGTTGTAGAAAAGCAGGTGTTAGAAAAGGATAAGTAAAACAGGAAGAAGTACATGGGGCTCCCAAGTGCCTGGCTTGTCTTGATGGTAGCCATGATCAGCAATGTCCCTGTATAAAAGAACAAGAAACTGGCAAGGACTATGTTCTTCCTCCTGTGGTCCTGTGTCAAGTCAAGGAGAAGGAAACTGGTCACTTTGATATTCACCTGCATGATTCATGAATGGTAAGCAAAGAAAATGAGATATGTCATCTGTAAAAGAAAGGAACTAGTTTTAATATGTTATGTGATAGATAATTTTAAACAAAATGTATTTCTTTCTCATAAATGTATTCTACGTCTGAATTATTAAAATATTTTCCAACCCTGTATTCAATTTAATATTTATTAGTGTCATGAAAGATGATGAGAATGACACTTTCACCATAGCAATCTTCATACATAAATGATTGGCTTTAACATGGTTCTGATTAAGGCAGACACCCACAGTTAAACACTGAACTTAACCCATGGAACTCAGTGACAGGGAGGAGCGATGAGCAAATTGGCAAAGAATGGGCTGGCAAAACCAGCAGAGACAGCTTATCTGAACAGGGGAGAGCTCTTGGATCCCAGACCAACAGCTGGGAGGCCAGCATGGGATTGATCCAGACTCCCCGAATGTGAGAGTCAGTGATTAGGCCTGGGCAATCTATGGGACCCTGAGCAGTGGATCAGTGTTTATCCCTGGCATACAAACAGAAATTGTGTGTCCATAGCACGATTGCTTTCTCAGCCTGGACTCTTAGGGGAGTACCTGGACCCTGCCCTGAGTGAAATGACAGACTATAGATATCCCCTATGTGGAAGGAAATGGCAATAGGGTGGGAGGCTGGGGGGGATGGGGAGTGTGGGAGGAGGGGAGGGAGAGGGAACTGGGATTGACATGTAAAACAAGCTATTTAAAATAAAAATAATAATAAAATAGAAGAAAATAAAAAATAAAATAATAAAAAAGAAGAAAAAACATGGTTCTGATTAATCTTTCTGTTTAATAAATGTAAAATGAAATGTATACTTTCCTTTATTACTTATCGCATTGTTTCATGGACAAATATTGTGGAGGCCATGACTTATGTAAAGTTTTTCTCTACATGGAAAATTTTCAGTATCCTTTGAAGTGGTCATATAAATTTGGCTAGACCATACATTCAATAAAATTATTATTTACCATTACCCATTAATAACATGCATTAATAAGAAATACAACACTCTTTTAGAGGTAATGTTTTTTGAAAGAAAGAAGAAATTCAGCAACCTATAAATAATCTGGTAATATCTTAAAACATTCATCAAGATATTTTGTAAATAGTGTTTATATACAGAAAATACTGTTCCTTGATAATATACTATTAAATATCTCAAAAATCTCTTTTTCTTCTACTACTGAAAAGCATACCTTATGGTATTCATATGCTCTGAGAATACCTTAAAATGAAGGGTTATTTTATATTATCTAAAGGTAAATGTTTGCAACCTAAATATCCTCATACATAACCTTAGTGCTTATTGCCAGGAATTTGTTGTAAGATCATATCACAATTGTCATCTACAGGGGAGTACTTAATATTCACGAATCTAAAAATTCCACTTTCTCAGACAACAGGAAAGTTTCAAAAGATGAAAGGAAGTATGGTTTTAGAGAAGGGGATGGATGGTAGTGTATGTTTGACTATTTTAGTTCAACCTATTTTCAGATTTGGAAATTATGATCATGTCTATGTATATAATATCACTTCTTTAAATAAAACCTATTTATATACTGGAGGAAATTTTATAACAGACTATCAAATTCAAGACATTTCTAGCTTCGGCTTATCAAAATATCATTGACAAACTGATATGTAATGTATTTAATATATTCTGGAAGACTCACTTATTCACAGTGCTCTTCCAATCCCTGCTACAATCACCAGTACACCGTGGTGAGAACTGTGAAGTGGTCTAAGGCAGAATCTGATAACTAAGACAGATACAAGGTTATCTGTATGTGCATGTTTCACCTCATCCTTGGAATCTGGATCACTTCACTAAATTTTAAAGATATCTTTCTGGCACTATTTTAAATGAATAAAATTAATTTTTATTTTGTGTGTATGAGCATTTAGCCTGCATGTGTTTCTGAACACCATATGTGTGCGTGGTACCTGAAAAGTATGAATGCTTTGCTTGTATGTGAGTGCTGAGTTCCAAAGAGTTTCTAAAGTAGGAATTGATTCCATGGAAATGGGCTTAGTGATGGTTGTAAGAAAGAGTGTGAGTTCTGGGTATCTCAACCAGGTCTTCTGCAAGAGATATAAGTGCTCATAACTGCTAAAGTATCTCTCCAGAACTGCATTCCACTATTTAAAACAATTACTAAACATGTCTAGTTAAGTTACTCACATTTGGATTTCAATAATAAAATCATAACAAATTTTACTTGCAATGCATTTTCCCTGTCAAGAATTAAAACCATAAGGAAACAGTATTCATAACTGACTTTCTAAATTACAATTAATGCCTTCCTTATTCGAGAATGTTGTATGAAATGAATAATTATCATGAGTATCTTATGGTATTTCAAGACCAATTTGTGAAAAAAAACCTCACTCCCATCAAATAGTCTATGATTTTAATGATTACATTGAATGTATAACATTTGACTTGTTTACCATAAATCTATAAATTGTCAGTTGATACAATATTTTTTCCACATGCAGGAAAATTTTTAAAAATAAATTAATATCATAAATTCATATTTCACTAAAATTAAAATAATTGTGTTTCTTCATCAAGCATTTAATGACTAATGTAATCAATGTTCTCTTACTTCCTTCATCATTTTTCTATCCATGCTAAATTTATCTTAAAGCTTCAATCAAGAATCTTCCCATACAAAGACAGAAATTATTACCTTTTGACCAATAAAAATTCCTTTGCAGATCTCTAAATAGCTTGGTCAGGGTGAGGCCCTGGTCTCTTCTGAAAAACCATATTCTTAATGGCAGAAATCACAGTAAGGTCAAGTGTATCCCCCGGAGGCCAGCCAACATTGTACGTTGGCCATTCTGAAGAACAGAAAGTTCTTCAAGGTCCCTTCTTCTACAGACAGGATGCGTGCCCTAGTTCTAATTTCCATCCAGTGGTCGAGAGTTTGACCAAGAGGAGTACTGACAGTCTGTCCCATCATCCAAGTCACACAAAAGAAGACAAACAGAACACTCAAAAAGACAGAGAAAGCCGAAACCAGAGTCCGCCTCTTGCAGGACTTCAACACTAGGAAACAGAATCAGACGGCTGAGGGGACACAAAGTCTCTCCTAGGCACCCAGACGGGAAATCTCCGGGCATCCCCGGACTTCCTTCAGACCTCCAGGGACGTCTCCCAGGGCAACAGTCGGTTATCTCCTGACACGCCTGTCGATAACTCTCCCCTCCATCCCAGATAAGGGAGATCATTGCTCTCACGAGTGAGGATGACTGCAAACCAAAAGTACCAGATTCAGACAGCCGGCAGACAAAGACACAGACAAAGACAGAATCTTACCTCCAAGAGGGGTCCCCGAGAATTTGGGTGGTCGCAAATCCCAGATGAGCTTCCAACTGAAAGACCTCCAGATTGGGAAGACCCTCACTCAAGTCTCAGGATAAGTTGACACCCCAATAATTCAAGAGGGACTGTTCTTGCTGCAAGCACACGAGGTTTATTTGGGAAACAAGTGTAATGGGGCCGAGCTCATGACCCTCGCAGAGGCAGAGAAGTTCGACCCCTAATAGATGCAGTTGGGGGTTTTTAAAAGGGAAAAACTGAATCGGGGGGTTAGGCAAACATCATAAACATAATGGATGAGAAAGTTAAATGATAGCTTATGTCTTAACAGGAAGGTTATCTCAAGCAAGCATTCTTTAGGCACTGCACAGTTAAACATTGAGCAGGAATGTGGTGAGCTAGTTCCTGGATAAGGGAGGGTTATCTTTTAGGTTTATCTTGAGGTCTCTGGTTTCTTAGGTGAAGGCAGATGGGCAAGTCACTCTGTGATGGGCTAGTCGCTAGGGGGTCTAAAAATGTTGAGTTGGGATCTCTCAGTTTAACCCCCAGGAACAGCTGACCTGAACAAGGGTTAGCTCTTGAATCCCAGACTGATGGCTGGGAATCCAGCATGGGACTGAGTACTCTTCGACTCCTAGTCCCACCTATCTTGCTTCCCTATTGGAGGACTCTGGGTAAGAGAAACACAGGGAGTCAAGATGTAACATCAATAGGGGTAAGAAGCCCAGAAACTTTTCTCCGGTAAGAGGAATACTTAGATTGGCAGTTATGGGATAAATACTTAAGTCAGAGCTAGCCAGTAAGAAACAAGCAAGGCCAACAGCTTCATAATTAATACAGCGTCTTGTGTGTTATTTGGGGACTACAACTTGGCAGAGCCCAGGCGACTTGTGGGGAAAAACCAAGCAGCTGAAAAGGAAATGTTTTCTCTGTACAGGTATCAGTGAGGAGGCCTAGGCAATCTATGGGAACTTAGGTAGTAGGTCAGTATTTATCCCTGGCATACAAATGGACTTCAGGTGCCCATACCACAATGAGAGATGCACTCTCACCCTGGACTCTTGGTGGAGGTTCTAGGCCTGCCCTGGGTGACATGACAGACTATGGATACCCCCATGGAGGGCCTCACCCTCCCTGGGGAAAGGAGGGGATATGGGGAGTTTTGGTGGGAGGACATGTGAGGAGGGGAGGGAAAGGTAGAGGGACCTGCGGTTGACATGTAAAGCAATCTTGTTACTAATTTTAATTTAAATTTAAAAATTAAAAAATTGGCTTCCAGCAGCATCAGGTAAACAGGCCGGCTTCCCAGCCTGTGCTCCAGTGCCTGCAGATCGCCTGGGACCTGCATAGAGCTCCCAATCCCGGCGGGAGCCAAGCACCCCAGACTCCGGATCTTTGCTCACACCAACGAGACCAGGAAAGGAGAGGAGGCTGGGAGTCCAGGGAAGCAGCGGTTCTTCCAGCAGCATCAGGTAAACAGGCCGGCTTCCCGGCCTGTGCTCCAGTGCCTGCAGATCGCCTGGGACCTGCACAGAGCTCCCAATCCTGGCGGGAGCCAAGCACCCAGACCCCAGGTCTTCTCTCCCACCAAAGAGACCAGGAAACCAGAGGACCCAGGGAGACCAGGGGAGTAGCTGTTCTGG